TGAATTTTGAAACGACTTACAAGACGATACGATTCGTAACCTGTTAGTATAAGGTCCATGTCTAGAATTAGAATAAGTACCTACCTATGTATGTAGGAGTTTATTATTTTGTAGGAAGTAGGTGAGTGAGTACATAGTTAAATAGATATGTACTAGTATATATTAAGTAAGTACTAGATTTTTTTTTTGTATTCGAAATGAGCACTGACTTAATTTGCCTTTAAAAGTATAATATTCGTCACATTCACATACGTATTTAAAGCACTCATACAGTCACGCCCTATAAATCTTAATAATTTAGATAGGTAAATCATTTATTAAATGACCTGCAAATATGTAGGTATAAACACTTTGGTAGGCCCTATAGATATCCGTTTTTCTCATCGTAGGTACCTACCTATCAAGCCAATTTGTAACAACGTCAACAGTTATTTAGAGTCAATAAAGCACTATATAGGTGACTGATCTGTTATCTCATATCTGGAATGTACCAAGGGTACAGTGTACCTAGTTCTTTATAGAACTACTAGGAGTGGTAACTACCTACATAACCAACGCGTGTACAATCAAATACGTACATGACGTGGTTAGGTAGGTACGTATAGTCTTGAAAGGATACAATAAATCACAGTTTTACGCTTCCCGTAATATCTGCGAGTATCTATCTAGGTACCTATTATTATCGTTTCGCTACTGGTTGCTAACGGTTGCTAATGAAATAAGGGGACATATGGCCTTGCTTGTCCCACTCTATTGCACACTACCTACAGTTCGCACACACATGTGTCTACATCTACATGCTACATGACTTGCTATCCGTAGCAAATTAGCATTATTTTACGCTTCACATAGACTTTAGACGGACAGGTCAAGGTGTAGGTATTTAAATACCAACAAAACAAGTAGGTATCCACGGGCTCGGGCATTGATAAATATTATGTAACACACATTAAAATATGGAATAGGTACCTACCTGTTATCTAAACAGGTGATTAAATATAAAAAGCAGATGCCTACATTGATAGTGACATTCTAAAACTTTAATATATAACACGATAAATTAGAGATATCAATACTTTATGGCATACCTATAATAATAGATAGGCATAGGTTTTATTTCATGTAAATATTATGGGAAATACCTAGTACACGTTTAGCTACATAAAATTTCAATTACCTAGATAGTGAGAAACGTCGGCCCATCAAAAATATAAAAAAATATTAAGTAAGTACCTAGATATAATTCGGTTAATATCATAATTTGCTGCAGTTTTATCAGATATGTTGAGCGCATTGACAAAAATAAATAAAGGTACCACACCCAACTGAGGCGAACATAGACTGAATAGATAGGTACCTAGGTATAAGTGGTCATCATTACTCAACCACAATTAAATCCATTATACTTAACAAAACTGGTTTACCTTAGATGGAATAATATGTATCAAGGCGTGGAATAGCTATTATAAATGTTTTAAGTCGTGTTTTAGTACTAAGTACTCAGGTGGGTATCTAATTAGTTCCCTTCAACTAACAAGTACGCCAACGCCACGTAGGATGAAACTATGCCATTTAAGTTTGTTCTGTGTAAAGAAAATGGTTCAACCATGTTATCCTTACTTAATCCTTACTTATCCTTACTAATATTATAAATCGGAAAGTGAGTTTGTTTGTTTGTTCCGCTTTCACGCCGTAACTACTAAACCGATTGCTTTGAATTTTTACAGACGTAAAGTTAGAAGTCCGGATTAAATACTTTTTATATACTTATAATCTTATCTTTTTATCCCGGAAAAATGTGATATTCCCGAGGGAAAACAAAAGTATTGGTATAGATGGCGCTGTGTATTGGTATATGTCACATATGCTACTTTTTATCCTTTTGTGACGCGAACGAAGCTGCGGGTAAAAGCTTATGAATAAGTAAAGTTACAACGAAAGGAAGAAATAAATAGTTTCTTAATCTAAATATACGGGTTTGTTTAACATTATAAAAGTATTTGTTATGAACAAGAAAAAAAGAACAAGGTATATACTGCATAGGTAGTGAGGTGTATAAGTACAAACACTACTCACGAACCACAACAATTCACCAATGAATGTAACTAGGTGATATAGGTACCTAAGTTAGTGAAACAGGGACGTGCGACTCATATCAACAAGTCTTTAGTCATGTTTGTTTGACAAAACAACTGGCAGCGGTACCACCACCAAATATGAAATCACCATGCACCAATATTAGCCAATGAAGTACCTAAAACTTAGTAATAAGGTAGTTGACTAATAATATCAGTACTTAATGTTGAAAAGGAGTCATTTTCATTGAAAATTATTGACAATCAATTTGACGTCATGTCCGTTCATGGTTCATTCACATCGACTATTTTCCGACGATATTTGAGGGCAAAAATTTTAAGCACTTTCCAATAATTTTCGTCAATAGTTATATGTTTAAAAAATAAGTACCTAGGTAATGTAGAAAGATGCCTACCTAAGTAGGCAAATAAAGAAATCTTGCACGAGAGGAACATGTTGACACACTTTATTTTGGAGGGAGAAAAGTATTTAGTCTGATATTTTATTTTATTTACATACAGCTAATTTTTGAAATAGTTACGATTAGGCAGATAATATTATGTAGATATGTCATGTTTAACATAATCTTAAGCAGTAGGTACTAACGACGTAAGATTTAATCAATGATATAATCATAAACCAAGCTTCAACTTTCATAAATTCAAAATTTGTCGTATGATGATGAGACATAGTTTGATGATTAATTACAATTTAGATAATTCTGTGGTTTACGCAAACGTCTTTATTAATTTTAACTTCAAACCGAGTTGAGCGAAAGTGGCGTACCTATTTAAGCGTAATAAATTAGCATTCCCCGTACATGACACTGAATAACGTAACGGTCATTCGTTCCATTATGTGACAAAATGTGTGTCTTCTTTCTAATAGATGTGTAGGTACATCTATTAGAAAGAAGACACACATTTTGTTACTTACTTACTTTCCTTGTACTTTTCTGTTACAATTTAGAAATAGGGACACTAGGAATGTACCTCGGGCCACTTTTCAAAGTGCACTCAATCATTATCATACTTATTTATATTCATTAATTTTTTAAACATAAGTTACTTACCTATCCACGCTACCTAAACAGCGATATGATTGAGAAAGCGTATTACATTTTAATTTGTAAAGGACCTACATTAAGTAAATAGACTAAAGACAATTGATACGTCCTGAAAGACGAATTACTTTGCAACAAAACGTACCAAACAGGCGTCAATAGTCTAACTTTTAGTATCTGTAAAGCTAGCATGGGTATAACCAGTCAGAAAGTAGAAATATCGAGTGCTAAAATATAAAGGGCAGGCACATAATCAATACTGTTTTCTTTGTTCCAGATTCGATGAAGGTCGCGACGGTTACCTTGACTTGACCGAAGTCAAACGAATGATGGAGCGTTTGGGAGCACCACAAACTCATCTTGGACTGAAAGCTATGATTTCGGAAGTCGACGAGGACGGAGATAACAGAATAAGCTTCCGAGAATTCTTACTCATTTATAGGTAAATAGAATATTTTATTTTCATTAAAAGTGCTTGAAAAAAAGGCAGAACGTTCTTAAATTTATGCTAGTTTACTTAATAATGTAACAAATACGACTAATTACGCATTATTATTAAACTTAGTTGGTGAAAAAAGACATAGAGCGTCAATAGTTTATTAGTTGAACTTTTATCCTGTTTGTTGTTGAATCAGAAGCATGTAAGAAGGTAAATACGTAAGTAGGTGTTGTGGGAAAGAACCTACTGACCGGTCGTCGAGTCTTATAAAATAGTTATAAATCACATTTAATTTCCTGCACCTACTGCCTGCGTCATAGCAATAATACCCATACCTCTATTGACTCACAATAGACAATTGAGTCACTTTTTGAATGAAAATAATAAATTACCAATGTCATAATGCGTTTCCATTGGTTTCCATAAAAGGAAAAAAAATGAAGTGGCACCTTATTTGTGAATTATGTTTGTAGTTATTCATACTCAATCAATAAGGTACCTAATTAATATTGATGCACGAAATTAATACGAATTACGTAAATTATTTAGAAATTGACATGTAAGACAGATTAGGGTTTATGTTCTGATTTTCACCACTCCGTATTTGTTTTACAGGAAAGCCCGCGCCGGGGAACTGGAGACAGATTCTGGTTTAGACGCATTCGCCCGACTAACAGAAATCAACGTAGACCAAGTTGGAGTGAATGGAGCCAAGACGTTCTTCGAAGCTAAGATCGAGGAACTCGCTAAGAGCAATAGGTTCCACAACGAAATAATCCAAGAACAAGAGGAGAAACGTCGAGAGGCCGAAGAAAAGGCGATGCGGAGGCAAGCATTCAAAGAAAAAGCAGCTGTATTTCAATAACTCTTAATGTTATTTTTGTAGTTAATCTAGTCTTAAGCTGTTACCATGGCTTTACTGAGAAGGAATATTGTGGACTTATAAATTGCGTTTATAAATACTATCCTCTCTTATGAGATTCAGATTAAGTATTTTACTAAGTGCTAAAACGTGTAAATAAGAGTGTGATCTGATGAATTATAAATGGAAGGTGGTGAAAGAAATTCACACAAGTGAGGAATGAAAGTTAAAGCGTGCCAATGTTGGATCCATTATTAGGTACTAAATAATTTAACTCAGATCTAAAATAAATTAAATGTTACTAGTTAATTAATCAACTGTTCTTTTAAGATAGTGTGTATTTTGATGGCCGAAATGTCTTAAAAGACTTCTGAATACTACTAAGATTTCTAAGACCAAGATTTATTATTAAAACATACATAATACGGCCTAATTTAAAGGAGCTCAAATTAATGCATGTTGCCTTGTATATGTTATCCTGTTAACAAAGATTTTATTCTAAGTTAAAATTGTGATGAACTATAAAATTAGTCACAAAATAAATAAAGAATTTATGTATAAAATGTGTTTTATTATTATTACTTATAATTAACTATTCCAATTACACAACAATAGAACGAACTTATGAGCACTTATTATTACTTAGTAATAGTATTATTTGTTCACTATAGTATCAACAATCATAAATACTTACATTGTATGACATGTTAAACGTTTTAGGTGAAATATTAAATTACCTAACAAAAATGCGGACTTATATTATTACAACAAACATATAAATAAACTCACAGTTTTGGTCCATAACGGCAGACAGGCACTACAACATTATTTAATCCCTAGTCTGCTGGAAAGCTAAGCAATACGCAACATATTTTTACTGTCTCTTATAGTGGCACCACAGTCGCTCTACCAAAAGTGAAACAACATAGAAAAAGAAGAATAGTGGCAGATTAAAAAGAGGTTAAAGTATACTTTGGAACCCACTCAGACACTGTAAATCTGAATGTCAGTTCTTTCAAAACAAACTACATAATTATGTTTACTGGCTTTCATCCATTTCAGACTCATTTCTGAATGTATTGTGTTCCACATAAGACACATTTTGGTTTGCATTCTCATTCAGATCTATGTATTTTCTAGTAAAAGGTGGTAAGTTGGTTAGGTCTACCTGTTGAAGGTTTGCTAGCTTCTTCATGAGTTCTGCATTCTGTAATAAAAATGATACATAACGTAAATAAGTACCATACTCTTGTCATATATATATAATTTTTTTTATATTTGATGGGGCAACATTTGACCACTATCTCGCCTGGTGGTAAGCTATGATGCGGTCTACGATGGAGCACGTCATCCTATAAGCAACCTATTTACTCGGGCCTTGAAGACACCCAGGTTATACCCTTGAGGAAATACAGACTCTGGCAAAGAATTCCACTCTTTAGCAGTGCGCTAAAGGAAGATTGAAGCAAAGCGCTTTTTGCATGTGGGTGGAACATCTATCCCGAAGTTGCATGATTTAGTAGACTCATGCCTGCCTGGACCGGCTGGACAATTCAACAGAGGAAAATGATAGGTAATGATTTTATCAAACTTTTAAACAAATGGCAATGAAAAATTTGGTATACCAAATACCTATGCTATTATTGCACTTTTAATTAGTATTGGGTGTTACATGTTACGAAACAGGTAGGTAAATATAATTTCAATTGTACTCACCTTTTGTATATTGGATGCAAAATCTCCTGCAGGGTTAGTAAAGGTCTTGATTTGCTCTAATTCTAATGATCTGTAACATTTAATGAATTGTTTAAATCTTCACTTCATCTTACAATGTAATATCTGAAATAGCTACAAGCAAATAATTTTGTTATTCCAAGAGCAAAAGCAATATAAAATTCGTAGATCAATCTATATCATGTCTTATAAATAAAAATTAAGATAAAGCTATACAAACATCCTAACTATAGATACTTGATAAATAAATATGATAATTCAGTTGTTGGTGTGCAGTAATAATGACTTTTAAATCTGTTTTACACAAGAAATAGGACAAAACATTGGTTTATCATTGGAACTTGACTTGTTTTTACTCTTACACAATCACCTGATATAAATCCCCAAAATGGTTTCATACAAAAGTAGACATTGTCATCTAAACATCAGAAAAAAGGTCTATAATGGAGTTAGTGGAGAGTGGTCAACGGTGACTGCTTGGGGATTGATCAGTTAAATGGATTTACATTTAGAAAAGTCTCATGTATTTTTTACACAACTGTATCATTGTAACATTTGAAATATAGTTTGATAAGAATAAGTTCTTGTTGTACAAACAAATAACAAACATTGACATAAGCACAAGAATGGAAATAAAAAACAATTTTATGAAGTTTTTTAAGCTTTAAGAACTAATGTCATGTTCTTAAGCCTAATTGTGAAGGAATGGTATTTCATTCCACAATGTCACAGCAGATTTATAGTTAAATTATGTAGAAAGAATTCAATCAGCTAATGTCATTGCAGAAATCTACTATTAATTCGAAATAAATATAGGCAGTGATAACCAACTAAGAATCAGCCTGAAAATATAACTTCATTGGTTCATAACTGCCTGAAAAAGTAAGCGATTGGTCCCTCAAATGTTAATAACAAGTTCATTTTAATAAAAATATTTACATCAATCTTAGAAGTTGATTAGCGGTCGTTAATTCATTTTGTAGATCTTGCAGTAACTGTTGATTTCCTTGACTCAAACTCCCCAGCGCTGACATTTTTCTTACAATATTATTTTATTCTAACTTTCTTTAAAATTTAAATAGTTGAATTAGGTAATTATTTTAGTTGAATTTGTTTTGAACGGTTGTTAGAAAACTTTCAAAAGTTTCAAACTCCTAACTTATTGACAAGACAAATTGTGACATTGACAGTTTTACTGTTGTACTCGCTACAAAGTCTCGACAATATTGATATCGACAAACGAGTGCTAAATTGAAAACGGAGGCCCATGTACTTGCGTTACTATTTAGAAAGTACACAAAGCATAGTTTTAGAAATAATATTTATGTAGTGCGAATTTTTGATGGAAAATTTTAAGAAGTACTATCTAGTATGTAAGAGATTTAATTGGAAAGATGTATAGGTTACTTTATCTTTGAACTAGTTTAGAATTTCAGTGGCAAGTTCAGTACTGCCAACATAATATTATTAACTGTCAAAACAGTGATCTGTTCCGTTCCGTCTGTCTCTTTGTTGTGTTGTTGATTAAAAATACAAAACAATCTGAAAAAATGGAAGAAGCTGTTTCTGTCAAGCATGAGGGTAAAAACCTTGATATAAAGCAAGAAAAACAAGAAAATTTGGAGACTTATAAGCTCGAATATGATTCGGGAAGTCAGGATAGCAGCAAAAGTGGAAGCGGGGGCTATCAACGATGGGCGCCCAATTTGAATGGTGTAAGAAAAAGCGCATTTACGCCGTACAAATCTGTGCAGTGTACTGCATTAACCAATTTGCAGAGAGGTACGTCAGTGACAGAGTGATTTTTTCTGTTAGGTTGACTAGATCTATTGATTTCTAGCAGTTTCTTTGTGGGTTTGAAGTAGGTAAAACATTCAAGGTCGCTTTTGCAGGTAATACGCAGGCGCGAGTCCCGGAGTTGCCCCAGCCAGATTGTAGCTTACACGCTAAGGCTGGTCGCGGAGAAATAACTCGTGACGACGTGAAACTGGAGCAGTATGTTGACATCACTGATGAGCATGGACTTACTGCCCTGCACTGGGCAGCCAGCTATGGGCAGTTAAACAGCTGCCAGGACTTGGTGTGGTGAGTACAAGTTTTTACTCTCCACATCCTTTGTTCTTTGTCTGTAGGAAGATTGATTTTGCTAGTATGGGACAAAGAAAGTAAGTCTTAAGAGGAGAATGATATCTGAACTTGTTTTGTAGTGTTGTGTGGGTTAATTGAATAAGTGTTGGGTGTGCATCTATATTTAGCCTTTTGTTGTAACTAGGTGTGGTGCCAATGTGAACATGCGGGGCCCCGAGGGGGAGACGGCACTACACCTGGCAGCTGCGGGGGGACACCATGAGGTTGTGAAGTTTCTTCTCAATGAAGGAGCTGATGCTGACATACAGGATGATGTAAGTATATTATGGTAGTTGATTTGATATATTTTTATGAACTTGTGTATCATAGTGTTGTTTTTTTTTCAGTCTGGTAGCACAGCACTGATGTATGCAGCAGCAGCTGACTTCCCTTACACTTGCAATGAGCTCCTTATCCGAGGAGCTGATCTCACTCTTACCAATGATTATGACCAAGATGCTTACACACTGACCACTACCAATAACTGCAAACTGGGTAAATATATTTACATCAAGTTGATGAAAAGCGAGTCTTTGTTGATTTGTTCTACTAATGGTTATGTTTTCTCTTTTCCAGCACAAACTGTGATAGAGAATTTTTTGATTGGTTGCCTCAGCAAAATGTAAACATAATATACTATTACTTATACAATTTCTGCTCATCTTATGTTGCTCTGGACAACCAAGACAGCAGATTCATTTGCCTCCAGGAGTTAAATGAAAATACAGGGATTTAGTTTATAATGTAAATTTATATATATTTTTAAGTTCATTATATACAATTACAACAATGTGACCATAAATAAGTATGACTCAATTACAGACAATATCAACGTCCATGTTTGTTTTATTTAAGTACCTTACAACAGCATTACTATGCAGTATATACATTTGTAAACATGAATGCCACTTAATTTAAACAGAAATATACATATCAAAAGAAATGCAGTAAGAATGTTATTCTTAGAAGGCAGTTCATCTCGTGACATTCATTGTCCCCACCACCCTGTTGGCAATGTGCTTGTAAAATTATTTCCATACATAAATTCATATCACAGTTTAGATTCAGTAAGCCAGTTGAATGTCTGTGGTTTCCTATTGGATGATGGGTCAATAAGTATATTGATGATACTAGGTTTGTCAGTGACTGCTAATGCTTTCTTTAGCGCTGCTTCTATTTCTTCAACAGTGCGGCAGAGGTGTCCACTCTCGCCGAAAATTTCCATCATCTTTTCGTATTTGATCTCACAGCTAAGAGCTGTGGGTGGAGTGCTGGGAAAATAATTGAGATGTTATGAAACAAGCTTTATAAATAAGCAATCAATGTTTGATGTTATTAAATTCGTATAAACTTACCACTGTGTGATATCGCCACCTGACTGTATGTCTTCCATGACATCTTTAGGGAAGCCACTGTAGATACCGCTGTTGTTTACAATGACAATAACTACGGGCAGTTTGTAGCGGAACATAGTCTCGATCTCCATACCTGTGAAATATAATACGAAAATCAATACGACGTATGTATGACTCAGGATATAATGGTTATGCATTCATAATAATCGATATGGTAACATGTAATTATTGACATTCCTTGACAATATTGTTAGTGTTAAAACATGAAGCGAGTTTTTAATCATTGTATTCATTATTCTATATGTAATGTAAACATACCAGAGAAGCCAAAGGCCGAGTCTCCTTCAACACAAATGACACGTTTTTCTGGTGCATAGTCGCGGCACCACATAGCTGCGGCGATGGCAAAACCAGGGCCCACCTTGAATAAACATATTTTTATGTAGAGAGGAGTATGAGGTGATAATTATATTTCTAAATGTAAAACAGTGACAGGTACTAAAGACTACTGTAACTTTTAATAAAATTATACATTTTGTTTGTGGTAATTATAATTGAGATAGAATTTTGTTTTTTTTTTAAAAGATGGTCAGAATTCAACTTACTCCCATGGTGCCGAATGTGCCAGCGTCGAGCCTGTGTCGGGGCTTGTTGTTCAGTAACATTCCTCTACCGATATCCATGGTATTCGCTCCTTCGCTCACAATGATGGAGTCCTTTGGAATGTTCGCCTGAACAGCTTTGAATACTGCGAAGTAGTTGAGTGGCAATGTCTTGTTGTTAGCTTGAGCCTGGTAAAGCAAAATGTAACATATTTAGATAAATATTTCGTAAGAGTATTTTAAAACAATTTCTAAACGTGAGAAAGGTGTTCAAAGTCTTTGTTACAAAAGAAGACGACGTCACTTTAATTGCCATGACGAACAAATCGTGAGATAAAATCTATTATTAAAAATATCAATTATTTGAATGAATATAACATAGTCAATATTTCACTTATTTTAATGAAATATTTAAAATACTAGTTTTACCTGAACAAACTCTGTGTTAGCCTTCTGTTTCTGCTGGAGTCCTTGCCACCAGTTATTGCTAGCCGGCTGCAGGCTGAATTTCTTCTCAGCTAGTTTCTGTGTGAGGGCCGCAGTAAATGGCTTGATGTCCGAGTGGACAGCCACTTCCGATTTGATACTGTTGTGGAACTCTTCTGGGCTTATATCGACCTGGAACAAATTATTATTTTGTTTTGTGATTAATAACATTTCATTACGGTAAAACGGGGTGAATAGATACAGAAGAGGGGTGAATAAATATTCTTGTATCTATTCACCCCGTTATACGGTACATTTTTTTTATTGTTGCGTTTGGCCTCAAACTGGTGGTAAGCGATGATATGGCCGACTGATTGTGGCCTATATATTGTAGGCTTTACATTACTCATCAGAGTAATATATAATTTAATATGAATTTCTTTGGACCACATCTCTCTATTCCTCGAAATGGTATGTATTTGTGTAACAGTGTGAACTTAAAAAACATGGAGTAAGATCATAATCATAACTGGTGAAAATGTATTTTCACGGCTCTGTCTATCTTCTCGGGGATTAAAAAGCGTGAAGTTACGTCACGCATAATTATTATATCTTTGTGTTATGTTAACAATTTATTTTAAATAGTGTATTCCTATAAATTACCTGTATGACTTTAACATCGGGGGCGAAGCGTGGCTGTTGTCCGAAGTGTAGCATCCAGTTGAGTCTGGCACCCAGTAGCAGAATGACGTCGGCTTTGAGAAGAGCTTGCGTGCGCGCAGTCGACACGCAATATTCTGACTCGTCAGGTACTACTCCTTTACCTGAATTTGTGAATTAATAATTATGGTATTTAGAGAATATGAGAATGGAGTCGAACTGATATTTAGTGACTACAGGATGGGTAGAATGGTAGGTTATTTTTATTTATTATTTAGGAACTCAAAAGCGAAATTTTTCATGTAGGTATATTGCCCCTGTGCTCACTTAAACGGAGAAAAATAAGGGGTAAAAATAATTACTTTTTATTTCTATTAAATAATTCTTCGGCCAATTGGGAGCCATGTAATACTGTACCAAGAATAATCACTTTTAATTGCAGGGACGTAAATAATCCATTATCATTCACTGACATTCTATGGTAAATTGTTGATTGGAAAGTTTTACAATTCACACTTACCCATAGGTGTGGGTAAGAAGGGCAGCTTGGTATTTTCCACGAGTTTGCAGATTTCGTCTTCAGCGCGTGCGTGGGCGGCGCCTTTGCCCACGATGATGAGGGGACGTTCAGCTTTAGCCAAAAGGTCCGCGGCTTGTGATACTAAGGCAGGGTTGGGATGCGCCAGAGCCACGGGAGGCGCGTTATAGAAGTCCATTGGCACTTTATCTTCATCAGCTTCAGCCTGTATCAAATCAAACCATATTAATTGGAAAATAGACATGATTTTTCACTTGGTATTTACTTAAAAATGTTAACAAGGACTTTGTGAAAAAGGTTTGTTGCAAAAATAATATTTTTATATCTCCTCGTGTCGCTTCTTAGATTAAAATAGCATCTCATAAACATGTTAAGAATGAAAATGCAATTAATAATACTTTGTATTACAGTTGACTTTTACTTGTCTGATGCAACAAACTATTAATAATATAACGTAAATGGGATTTTGAAGGTAACAATTAATAGAGCACTGTACTGTTAATATCAGTAATCTAAATCTTTACAATAGCTATATTTATTAGTAGGTATGTACATGTAGTATATATTTTTATGTTTTATTTGATACAGATTAAGAAATATGGTAACATAATGAAACTCACATTGAAATATACTTAACTACAAAAATTAATAATGACGTCATTATCACGTCATTGCAGTTTGTAGCCAAATAATCAACCTTTGTATCTACTTATAAAAAAAATATTTTAAAATGTAGGTAAGTTACTGATATCTCAATATTCTGATTCTTTAAACTTAAATATAGGTATAGTGATATTTTACCATGAGCAAGGTTCCAGGCATGTCTAAGTATGAGACTCCAGGACGGCCTGAGGCGGCAAGACGTACTGCTTTCTCCACGTGCAGTGGAATGAGACGAGGTGAGGGTGGCCGGGCAGCATACTTGCAGTACAGACGACTGGATTCCACCTGTGAACATAATTATATTTGGTTTAATTAGTATTTATTTATACAAAAAAAATCAGAAACGCAACATTAGGTTAGGTTAAGTTACCTATCTCCCATTAGGTAGGGACAATGAATGACCCAATGGCATCACTCTAATAATAGCTAACTTAAGTAGGTATTTATTTATCTTTTATCTATCTATCTATATATATAAAAATCAATTTCCGTTCGTTAGTCTCGCTAAAACTCAAGAACAGCTGAACCGATTTGGGTAATTTTGGTATTGAAATGATCGTGGGAGTCCAGGGAAGGTTTATAAGGTGAGAAAAAAACATTTATAGGCGGTACGAAGTTTGCCGGGCCAGCTAGTTATTTATATATACATATATATATATGTAAGTAGGTAATTGTTTTTTGCTTTAGCTAAGTACGTTTTCTGCATGTCACCTAATATTAATATTATTTTCAAAGTTAGTACCTATCAGATGTTCAATTTTGATTGCAGATACCTAGGTACTCAGGGCTTTTTAATTTTCTGTACGTGGTATGTGCTATCTGCATACGTGTGGGCGGTAATCTGAACGATGCATCAATACATGTATAATTATAATATTATGTACAATGGGAAATTAGGAATTCAATGTATTGGGTGTGACTGCCTCGTTGGCCGAGTGGCAGCAAGTGCGACTGCCGGGCGAGGGGTCTCGGGTTCGATGCCCGGGTCAGGCAAAGTATTATAGGGTTTTTTTTTAAATCTCAGTAGTAGCACGGAGTGTGGAATTGTGCCCGGTATATGGCAATAGGGTCACACCCTATTACATGGGACTCATAAAATGAATAGTGAAAAGTGGGTGTTACATTGTACAGTGGCAGTTAATTGCCGCAATGTGCACTTCTGCCTACCCCTCCGGGGATAAAAAGCGTGATATTATGTTATGTGTCCATGCATACTTTTAATAGGAAGATAGATATTTAAGTATCTACACATCTATCTAGACAACACATAATAAGAATATTTAACATACTATTGAATCAATGACTACATGAGACTAGAGCTTATCATAATTATAATTACAAGATATAATATGCTAATAAGTACGAATATACAAATAATCTTCGTTCAAGGACGTCGTCAAGGAAATTCTGTAATAATAATTAATACTAACGACTTATTTCTTACAAAGATTTTGATAATTACGGCTAGGTAGCTAGGTGCTAGGTGTATAAAGAGCTAGGTGTATAAAGTTGTTGCAAATCCAGATGAATGTAGGTACCTATAATCATAATAATAATCTTGCTAATTTCACGATACTTCGGATTCAATACCTGAAAGTTTCGATTCCTAATACTTAGTGGTAAGTAGGTATAGCAAAATCGATGAATAATTTAATTTTAGATCCAAAACTTGGATAGCTAGAATGATTGATTGAAATTTGATTGAATATTGTTGAAACTAGACTAGACTAGGTATAAGTATGTATTTATTTGATTTGAATGTGTTCATTCATTGACCATTGAACTTTGTACATAATAAAAATTAACAATTCAACAGATTACCTAACAATGACAATTGAATCTAAGTACCTACATACTTATTCTGTTTGATATTTTATTTTATTGTAAGATTAAAATTTGGAATTTGCACTTAATCTTATCGTTCGCGTAGATATAGCGGCATTACATAAGTTTATTACAATAACATATTAAACTACAAATCTGAAAGTCAATATGAAGTCAGTTAGTCCGGCGTAAAATTCGAAAATCCTACCTAAGTAAGTATCTGTCTTAGTAGTATTTTATAATATATACATTAACCTTGATAATTATTAAGTTTTAACTAGTTTTAAGTGATTATGTATACCTTCCTTATATAACAATTTGTGACGTCATACTTTTTTACCGACAAAACATGGCGAACGTATTATTTATAATTGTTATGTATATTGAATTTTGTTATACCTGCGGCCATTCCTGGAACCCTCCGATACCTTCATGGTCTTGAGGGCATGAGCCAGCGATGACTATAAGCGGCCAGCAGTTCACTTGAGCATTGGCCATTCCACCGATGCAGTGCAACAATCCAGGGCCAGACACAGCCAGACAAACACCTGGTTTACCTGTAATTTGAACAAATACATTACGTCAGCAACTCCAATAGAGATATCCTTCAGAAAGGTCATGAATGTAATACTTAAAAGCCATTGCATGTAGCTGCAATTGATTAATGTGTGGGTTGGGTGGGTACCGGGTACTCTGTGGAATATGTCTAATGCATGGGGCTGCATATATTGTACTTATAGTATCTCTATCCACATGATTCAACATGATGTCCGAAATATTTATTTTATAGTTAATCACAATGATTGTAGCTATTGAAACTAGTATAATAACATTCATAAATGAAAGAAAATATTCCCTCTTTTTGTTTATTTAATATGAGTAAAATTTATCAATTCATTGTTATCGTCACATTCTTATAATAAATGTAACAGGATGTATAGAAAAACAAACAAGCACATGGGACATTATTTATCTCAGTTATTGATATCAACTGAAACACGTAATAGTTATCATTATCATAGTCAGTAATGTAATAATCTATAAATTTGCTTTCAGATACAGATAAAATACACGTTTTTTTATATTATTATAAATTATAATTTATTGGCTTAATGCTTGAATCCTATTATTATATTCTTTCTTTAAACATACACTTATCATACTTGAAATGCTTTTTTTTAACATAGCTGGTGATTTTAAAGCCAGCTCTAACTGAACATGTTTCCTACTTATGTATGTAGATAGGAATAGGTTGTAGGTATTGATTATAAATATATTAAGTTTGGTATACTGGTTCCTATCAGGTAGCACACCACTTAAAATTAGAAATAGGATTAGATAATCAGTAATCAGGCAGGCAGTGATGAAAGGAGGTAACTTAAAGGGGAGGTAGATAGATAACAAAAGGTTGGGCAGGTGCAGGGGAGATAGGGGGTGTTGTATATCTTTTCACTTTCAATTACATGACTGTGTAATCTGTGTACTCTGATACTTATTGATACTACAGATAAACTAAAATATTAATAAACTTTGTGTATAGAACTTTACATGTAACATAACTCTTTATTTATTACATAGGTCAGTGTTGGTATCATTGTTGAACTTAATGAATATTGTAAGACTAATTATGTTTATTAATTTTTTAATTATTGAACTATTGAATATTTATGATTAAAATTGAACTTTAACATGTATATTATTAATGTTGATGTATTACACACTATGTTAATTTTATGAACTTGGCAACTAATTCTTATGCTTTGAATTGTATAAATGTCACAGTCCAGTTGTGAGATGATGTAGATACTATATTCCCAATTTTATTTAGTGTTATTATTAATAATAAATGTAACCTGTTAGGTATCCAACAGCCTGTGCAGCGTAACAGGCAGCCTGTTCATTGCGCATGCCCACATACTTCAAGCCAGCAGATTGGAATGCCAGAGCCGTCTCTATCACAGGGATACCCACTATGCCAAATACATACTCCACACCCTAGAATAAATTATATTTTGTATTAATTAACTTTACAGGTAAAGGTGATGTATTTTTAAATATGAATAAACTTTATTGCCATTAAATTCAGGTCAATGCCCCTAAATGGAAATGTACTTTTACTGAGATTATTTTGCTGATATTGTTATAATGTTCAATTTGATATTTAGTACTATATAAACAAAGAGGATAAATAAGTTTAAAACTTGTTAGAAAGTTTTATTACTGATAAAAGTTCAAAACTTACCTGTTTTTTCAAACTCTCAGCTAAAATCGTATTTCCGTCGATACCCATTGCTTGATTTAATCTCGGCGATATGTGGATGGAACGTTTAATTAAGAACTGGCTAATCCTTCCTATTAACATTTTATAAAAAATACTATTATCAGTAATTATAAAAGTTATCTGCGGAAACGCGATCAGAAACTAGAATTAAATAAAACTCTGTACACTACTACACCAGTGCGCTGCTCATGGGTTAGCGAAAGTTTACGTTATTCGTGGGAAACATTATTAACTCTGTAATCTTCCACACCCCACTAAAATATCATATTAGTTATCATCCAATAACAGCACTCACCACTCAATTTACAGCTCTAAAGGATTACACGACTCACACTTCACAAAAATAATCTGATATCTGAACACATTGAAGTTTGACCTAAAATAAGATACGAAAACAGATAAAATAAATAAAAATAAACTTTGGACTTCAGATTTAGCGCGTCAAAGTTAATTGACGTAGGACTGACATTACTGACAATCACATTGGTGTTGCCAAGACGTAACAGTTGAAAACAACTAATATTGAGCGTCTGTTTAATATGCTCAACTTTTTTTTTCAAATAATTCTGTACTAGTGTTGGCATAAGAATAAGCCTGTTCTTACTTTTGTTCTGATATAGTTTTTTTCTGAGGAGAAAAATAGCTGTAATAATTAATTATAGTTACTTTCTACATAAGTAATACATATGCCATAATTTATTTAATCCAAATAAATTTAAATTTAAACGAAGTTAATTTACGTTTATTATCAATCACCATTACCACCACACCATCTTATCAGTTATTAGTGTCTTATACAAAACATTTACTGTTCATTATTCTGCCTCATTCATTGGCCTCCGCGAAATTCAACTGATTGCATCATAAATATGTATTTAAATTATAAATTAGGTACTTTATCTCTATTTATTATATTCCAATGCGTAATTTGTATTTTTATTTCATCTAGCGTAAACTCTACTTGGTGCTTGTGCATATTGTGAATTATTAATTAGATTTGTGTGCTTGTACATTTTCTCTCTGGTAGTCAGACAAACTGAATTAATTACAACTCTATTAGCCATTAGGGAACAATCCATCATATTTGAATTGCAGTTATTAATCTAAGATCAAACAATTGAAAATTTACCATAATATATATTTTTTTACACTGGCAGCTTATTTCTTTTTTGGCGCGATTTTTTAATTGCTGTACGGGTGAAGTCGTCTATTCTATGTCTATGGTTTTTTTCGCCATGGGTGATGTGGGTGGGAGTGAGTGTCAGACTCTGAATTCACCCACTACTACAAATCCCGAAGAATTTATTGTTGAAACTTATTTTTAACAGAAATAGATAGAATAGAAAGAATAGAATAGAAGCTACTGCTTTCCCTTTTGGGAAATATCAGAAGGTATGTCGGATACTTATAAAGCTTATTCATTACAGTTTTTCAGAAAGCTTTTAAGTAGTATCGCTTAATATTATACGCTTTTTTGCTAGTTCCACACAACTCACGAATACTACAATGTAGACACGTGATGCATGTACAAGGACTAATCGAGTCGATAAAAACTCAATCATACGCTGGTTAAGTTTAGGTACTATACAAATTGCAACATTATTGACTGCACGGTTGGTACGGTGTCTGGGCGACCGGCTGCCGTGCAACGTGTCGCGGGTTCGGTTCCCGCACGGAACAACACTTTGTGTAATCCACAAATTGTTGTTTTGCGTCTGGGCTGGGTGTCATTGTGTATCTGAACTTGTATGTATGTCCGGGATGAACTCAAAAAGTGCTGCATGGATTTTCTTTAAATGTTGCATGAATATTACTGACAGGTCGGGTCAACATATAGGCTGCATTTGCTATCAACTACGGGGAGGTGCTGTGAATCACTATTTTTTTTTATGGCTTAAGCCGGTAACGAGCAGACGGATCACCTGATGGTAAGCAATCGGCGTCGCCCATGGACACCTGGAACACCAAAGGCGTTACAAGTGCGTTATCTGCCGTTTGGGGATTAGGAGTTTCAGGATCGTTGGGGATTCAGGAATTGGGGAGATTGGGGTAGGGGAGGTTAATTGAGCCTCCGGGAACCTTACTCACACGACGAAACACAACGCAAGCGTTGCTTCCACGCGGACGAATTATAATAATTAAAGTTACAAGTACCTAATTTTACAATTTCTACAAGATATATTTATTACATACTAGCGGCCTGCCCCAGCTTTGCTTAGATACTCTTTCTTTATGTTCCCGATGAAGGTATCGAATCTTTTTTATACAAACTTTAACCTAACGACAACGAACACGACAAAATTAAATATACAATTTGGTACAGTCATTTGAAAGTTATGGTCGTACATACATTTTCGCAATACAATTTAATCCATTTTTAAAAATATACAGGTGATAATACAACTAATTTCCTACAAAAATAGCCCTGAGGTCTCTGGTCCGAGAGAAGCTAGTTTCACCTCCCGTGAGGAATACGTCGAGTTACAAGTCACCCTGTACATTCCGATAGGTCGGCCAATAAAGTCATTATTAGGTGTCGCAGACGAAAAATCACGGAGTTTTTTCAACATCTTACCTATACATAGTATTTAATGGTAGATTTATGAAATACTTAATATATTTATTTATCATTTCATGTACCCACACAGTAGACAATATTACAAAGAACAACACATTACAATCATGAGGTATATAGGTAATATATAATATATTTATTATAAGGCTTTATTAACAATTCAAGATGAGTAATTACTTGCACTTTTTTTCTCTACACACGTGTTCAACAACTTATCTCATTGAAGTTCCTAGAAACAAAATATATATGATTTTTTGTGTGACTTTTAATATTGTAACTCATAGGAACGAATTTTTTGTATCAATTTTTTTGATGTGGTATGTAAGGAGCCTCTCATCCTCATTACGAACGTTATTTTATTGGTCGACATGATTACTTTGAACATTTTATTATGTTTAACAACTCTATAGACGATAGTAACAGTATGAGAAACATTTATAACATAAGTTATGTATTATTGTTTCCTGAAGACTAGTAACGTAACGAAGTAATAGGTGTTTGATAGCTCATTTTCATATAATTTAAAACAAAATTATTATTAGTACTAAGTTATTTGTATGCACAATATACAACCAGTTTCCAAACATACATTTGCAACTGAAGACTTAGGATTAGAGTGTGTTAAAGAATCTCTGACTGAACGAACATAGCTATAATTTCGACCTTTGCGTTGATGTCTTACTTAGGCCGCGTTGCAATAAAACAAATGCTTACAAGTGTTACAGTAGTGGCGTCATAGTTTTGTAGCTACGGTGTGAGTTTTCCATAACATGATGTAATGTGTTATAATAACTAGCAGGACTGCAGGAGCAATGTAGAAATTTTGTACGAGCATGTGCGTAGCAGTTACATAGAATCTGCCTAGTGGCTATATCATGTGCGTTGTAGGTTCGTGGTCTCTGTGTAGTAGAAGCACGAAAAATGCAAATTGCGTTTGCAGTAGCAGTGTAGTAGACATGTCGTAGTAGTGTAGCAGATATGTTGTAGCAGCGTAGCAAATACGTAGTACCCGCGTAGCAAATACGTCGTAGGAGCGTAGCAGATATGTCGTAGTAGCGTAGCAAATTCGTAATACCCACGTAGCATATAAGTCGTAGTACTAGATTAGTAGCGTATTAAATGCGTAATAGTAATGCGTAGTAGAATGCTTAAGACCTCCGTAGCGGTTGATAAACTGGAGATTTTTGAACAAAAACAGCGAAGTGAAATACATTGTTTAGCTCCTGTGTCAATAACATTTTGCAATTATTGAGACAACAATGGCGAAATTGTATCGCAATACGTATTTGTGTAACTGATTGCATTACATTTATTTACAGGAATACTTATTTTTGCTTCAATAACATTAAAATTTTCACTTTGTCTGAAAGTGTCCGATAAAATTACAACTCAGCTAACTGATGAATAACTGGTCTATTTTTTTTAAGGGGGTGGGTTATATTTACAGGGATAGTTTATTAATAGTTTTACTTGTTCGACATTAAGTATAATTTATTTATTCAATAAATAAAAAAATGTCCTCAAAAATAAATGTTCTTCGACGTGCATAACTTCTAAATGACTGCTTTATGTAGGACGATACTTAAAAGATAAGGATGAATCTTTTGATATTGGACGTATTCTTCTAAAGACACGGTTTGTACAAAAGAAAATAATAGGAATCTTCTAGTTATAGTTACATACAAAATATGTTAAAACGAGATAATATTGCAAAGTTGTATTATTAAAACAAACTTGTCATGTGTACTATAACAATGTCACCGTTACTAAAGTGGTACACAATTAACCATTTTGTTTAAGAGTTTCGTAAAGGTTTAAACTACTTAATCGTACAGGGTGTCCTATAACTCGATGAATAAATGGCACCAGGTGATCGGCAAGGTTCCAACAATTATCAGAGAACATAATTATAAAAGAAACCCAAGTCATACATATAGTTTTTAATTTACAATAACTTATGTGTTATCCACGAAAAAGTACACCCTGTGCCAGTCTTTTGCCTCTTGTTGCTATAAATCTTTATTTTGTTGTCTGTATTTATGCTTAATTATCCTGAAAAGCACTACTATTATGTAATCATAAATTTTGAGCCAACTGCTTTAGTTTGGAAAATAAATAAAAGTGTGTTCTTAGTAAAAGTGTGAGTGAGAAATATAAATGAATAAAACTGTGTCTAATATTTATACATATTAAAAACGAGCATATTACAAGTAGGTACATCATTCTGAAATTAAAATTCAATTCAATAACACTTTCCCACTCAGTATCAATCTCGAGACGAATCTTTCATTCGTGACTGCGACCTCTCGACTAAGGCAGTAGTGTGCGATTGTAATTAACGTATTTATATTTCTATTTAAAGATAAGAAAGTAAATTAAATTAAACGTCGATAAAGGCTTACTCACTTGTGTAAAACGATTTCAAGGTTTCTTGTAAAGAACATTAAATAATCGTACTTGAAGAAACAGCAGTACAAAGTATGTGAATTGGGTTCCGTGAAAATCGGAAAGAAAATTAATATTCAATTTTTTTTTTATTTGGGATGATGACGGGTTACGAAAATGAAAAATCTATTTAGTCCGTAAGTTAGACAATGAAGAAATATTAGACACGTATTTTTTTATTTTGTTGTCTAATAAAATAGTACCTAGATAAAACGAATCAAAGATTAGGAGTGGGAGCTAAAACGTCATTTCTACGTATAAAATGTACAAAGAAGTGACGTAACGCGGCATTTCAAATCACTATATGGTCCTAACTATTTGTTTCTGTAAGAAAATAAAAAAATATGTATCTAGTGTTTTAAAGTAATCTATCAGATGGACATTAAAATAAAAATTAGGCTTCTACCCTATTAGAAGGGGCTTTAGATATGTAAGCTACTTTTGTTCTTAAGCTATGCAGACGAAGTTCAACAGCTAACAGTCAACTGTTGTTAAGCACCATTGAAATGACTTTTAATGGTTGAGGAATTTTTACTAATAACATTAGGTCAGTTCACGAACTAAACTCGACTTGTATAATAAGACGAAAAACAGAGTATGTCTTTAAAAAAACTCTGATGCCTAAATTTTATTTGGCGATATTAGGCTCCATTCCTGTTAACTTAGTAATCAGGTTCAAATCTTAATTCGTCTATCTAGAAGCATGTAGGTATGTGGACATGTCTTTGGTACCTATGAATAAGTTCAAAATTGAAACAATTCGCATATCAAAAGCAGTGAGCGATTTCACGCGAAAACATCCGTAAGTAATGTGTTAGCGGTGCGTTTGTCACGGCGGAAGTGTGGCGATAGTGAGACGCGAAGCCTCCCCTGGTTGTTGATGAAACAATGTTCGTGGCCCATGGTCCGCGGGTCGGCCGGCAGCCATCGCAGCCACTTATTTATTCCGCAGTCGCCTGCCGCCGCGACCTGTACGCTGCCCGCCACCACCAACCTGCCAAGTACCGTTTTATTGGAAACATGGTCGTATTCTAGAGTGACGGTTGACTAGTGATACATTGCTTCAAACATTATTTTTGAAATTAATCAAAATGGCAGTGATATTTATTAAATTTTTTGGTAAGTACCCCTTTCATCTTAACATTAAGAAAAATATTTAATAATGACAGTTTTGGTTATCAGTTTTAAATCTACCGCCCAAATACGATCAAAAAATGTTCTGTTGGTGTATAATAGAACAGGGATTTTTTAAACATTGAAGAAATAAAACGGATGATTGACGTGGTCAAGATAAAACATAACACAAGTCATCTACGTAAGATTTTCCAATTAATTTTACGGGCAATAGAAAAGTGAAATTGTTCAATGAATCAATAGGTTTATGGTGTACCTAAATCAAAGAGAAGCTGTTTTTAGTTCACTTTCAATTTGTAACAACTGTTTGCTATTTTTCGTGAATTAATTATCATTTTCCGACTTAGCAACGAATGATTTTAAGACGAATAAATAATTACTTGACGAATTATTAATTTATATTAAAACATTAATTTTATTAATAATAAGTACTTATAATCTATAAATATATTTTTATTTTATAAAAAAATAAAATGTCATGCAGTAATTAATGTGTTATTTTAAGTACTGGGTTATCCTTTAATTATAATAGGACTGTTAAGTTTAAACTCTTTTATCCAATTAGTCAACAAAGATTTGTTATTTGTTTATGGATGTCTGTAGTTAAGCGTTTATAGTTAATGAATAAATCCAAGAACAATCTTCTGTAATGATGTTCACATAATACTCGTGATAACTTCCCGAACATTTTCCGTTAACTTCGTATTTCTAGCACGTTTATGTTCATAAACAATTAATTACCTACTAACTTGTCGATAAAGCGATACACGACTGCCAAACCGAGAGTCTGGGCTTCAGATCCTGTAAGCAAATGTTAACATTGCACCCTCATCATATTAGGATTAAAAACTGAACCCTGCCTTTGCAGTCCAGTAATAAAAACGCATAAATAGCTTACCTACTCTGGTTAGGTAAACTATGGGGCGATCCTCTCTAACCTGGTCCAGGGAAAATTAGAAATGTAACTAAGAAAATCTTATGAAGATATAATATAGGATTTGTAAAACTTCAATGCTATTTATCAATGGTCAACTCACCATATAATGCTATTAAGGTCCACGTGGTTTGTGCCCGCGACTTTGACAGTGACAATCAGACACGCGAGGTCAGTCTCCGGAAGGTGATTTAGTAAATTCTGTAAAACATCTAATCCACCCGAGTACCTATTTTTCACGTCACGATACAACAATAAGTACTATTTTCCATTACACCTTTACACATAAATGTATAGCAACTTTGTTATAAAAATTTGTACAAAGCATGCTATTGTCTTCAGTATGTGTCTATTTGACGACCATTAGTTCCAACATGTAATAATAAATATATCCATTATATGCACCATGTCGATAAATTGTTTTCGACGTGAGCAGTGTGCTTATAAACACTCCACGGGGTTGTTAACTAGTATAACATATACAAAAGCAAACATGATAGATTATAGAGGAAATATTAATTATGTTCTATATGATTAATGAAGTATAACTACACATGTCACAACTGTCATCATATTATATATGCATATGTTACCTATTGTATGCACATAAATGCATGCCGGATATTGCATTCTAAGTTTTTACTACGCGAACATTTTATTAGATTTTCCACGTAACAAATAATAAAATCGTTTATAAATCGATGAAATATTAATAATACAAAATCAATATAGGTAATTATTAATAGAAAAGAATGTAGGTTGTCGCAGGAAAAATACCTACTTAGGTATGCCGCGATAATCAGCTGTTATAATTTCTAGGATGCCAGCATAAATAAATGTTTGAGTTGTTCTGCGTAATTTTATCACAGTTATTTCTGCAAGAAGTCACGTTAATCAAGATAGGTACCTAAAATACCGTCATAGAAATAACAGTTGGCGTGTCGATTTCTATCAAAATTTGTTGAAAAATTCCAGGATAAGATTTTGCCGTTACGAAATTGTTCGAGTTAATAAAAAGAATGACAAAGTATTAAAAAACATAGGTCTGTACGTGAAAGTAAACAATATTAGGCGCAGTAATGTGTGAAATATCTTCTATTTATATCTCGCAGGACCCATGTTATTGGACAAACATAGCTTTGCACGTTTTTTACACGCAACAAGTCTCGTGGCGGCGCCATCAGAATTACGTCGATCCTGTTTACGCAGGCTTGTTTTCTATTCTCAAGTAATGACGCGAATAAAATGCTATTTTTATCTGTACTTTATAAAGTACCTTGCCTTACTTTAAGCTTTGTATTTATTATAACCAGCTTTATGGTGCTTTATTACCAAGTTTGAAAGTTTCTCGTATTGATGACTGCTAAGTATAGCTTGTATACTTTGCTAAAAGGAGATGTTTTTTGTGGAGAACTAGGTATATTACCAGGTCTTTAAATGAAAGAAAATAGAAGCTCACTAGGTATGCATATATCCTTTTGCAATAAGTTTCATATGAGACGGAACTCTTCATATAGAAGTAGCGAAATCATTTGCTTATGGAATATTTTGGGAATATATTGTAAAAGGCATAATAGTACTTACCGCTATTAAGTGTATTGTAAACAAAGTCCAAATTATTGTCCCTAAGAAAGTAGTACAGTGAGTCATTTATCTCTAATACTGACACGATTTTCAATTTATAGTTAAAATTTTTATGCACAACTATATTACTTAGGTACTTGAGCGCAGATACTAAAATACTTTGAGACCATTTTCAAGTTGTATTTGAGTGTTTGGTTAGACTAAATATTCTAGACATACCGCTGCCATCGCATTCATTTTTATCGCATCTGATATTGACCATGTACAATTCGAAAATATCATTCTAATGTTTTGATTCTTAGGACCACAATTTCAGACATTACTCTCATGTAATGTATTTTATACTGAGGGATAAAGATTTAATTAATAAGTACATGTATGTACACTCACATGTGTGTACAATATTGGAATATGTATCACAGCTGTGTAAAACAGACTTTTTTTAAAAGAGTAACGAATGTAGTTTCTTGTCGTTCTTCTCCACTCGAATCGATATTTTGGAACGAGCGCCTAGTTTCACTGACGGACAGACTGACAGACTATTATTTATTTCATATTTGTTGACGTTTCAAAAGTACCAAATTATGGTTTAATTGAAATTAATGCTTTTAAGTTTGAGTTTGAGTTTGTACCTATTTAATTTTCGTGCTTATTGTTTAGAAGTTGTTGAAAAGTTCCCTTAAAGGCATGCGATACTTTTGAAACCATTATCACTGGAACATGACGTTACACTAATTTCGCCGAAAAATTAAACTCATTAGCTTGAGTCATAAGAAGTCATAATATCCAAATGATTTAACTTATCTACTTACTTCCTTAGAGGACTTATTGTTGTTACCTAAATACCTAATGCTTAAACTGTTTTTAACGACAACGCTTAAGATGACCCTTTTTTACTTCATGTTTTGCGTTTTGCATAACCAACCAATTTGGTTGATTTCCATTCTTTTTACCCGACGTCCATACTTTTCGCAAAATCACTCTTCGTCAATACCTAAGCAGTCAGCGAGACTATTTTAACACACAATCCTAACTATGTTTCGTGAATCGAACTTGAGTACATTGATAGCATAGCATTAATGAATTACAAGCCAGCATTGGTCTGCAAGTTGCTATGCCATTGAGCCGCATCTATACCTAATAATGACAAGCTCGTGTAATATCACTGCTGCTCGGCTGCTAATTTTGCTCGAAACAATGTATTAATCAAAAATATCAACAAAAATAACATAATTAAATAGATTGCGGAAAAGACAAATAATTTTCCTTGTGATAGTCCATTTCCCTTCTTTCACAACCACTGTAAAATATTTTGAGATGTATTTACCTGATTTGAAAATTTTGTTATACAATCATATCAAAGACTTATTTTCTTACCTCGGTAGGTATTACAATCATGCACATGTCATTTAAGTATTTACTTAAGTAGTACAATTCCATCAGAATGTGCGTAAGAGAACCAGGAAGAGTTATTGTTTCAAGTGTACATACATAAGAAGTCCGGGCGTATTCAATGGATTTACTACATCCATTGTCTGGGCACATCTGCGTGACATAATGCGTCTGTAGGTACTCTGTACCTAACTTTAGTACCTACTTTGATAAGTACATAAATATGTAAAACAAAAGTAGAATAAATGAGTATCGCAATGTGCTTATTCCGCCGCGGAGAACCTCACGGGTTGCCGGGGCTCCGGTTCGAACTGCAGGAATGGGAACGGGGTGGTTTTTAGTCAGTAAGAGTCTGACACTCCCTCCCGCCTCACCCAGGCGGGAGAAGCCATTCGATGATTTTCCCCCTTTAAAAAAATGTGCTTATTCCATAATAACTCCTCAGTGTGAAAAATGTTAACCCCCCTTTGTTTATATAAATGTAAGTTACGATATTTACGGTCATGATTGAGTGAAAAGTTCGGTCTTCGGCTGGCATAGGACATCGAAAAATGAAGTAATGCAATTCCTTATAGAGATTTTCAATAATAACCATTATAATGGCACAAAGGGCAATAGTTATCACAGTTTTAAACGTGACGATTTTCAATTAGTTCAACAAATGAAACTGAATGATTATCGTCATCTTTACACTTACACTGACTTACAGCTTGCTGGCCTAGTACAATATCCAATTTCTTTCGAATTAACGACTGCATTATTGCACATATTCCTTAAAATCAAACCGTAGCATAGAAAATATAGTTAAGTATAACATTAGCAATTACTGTTGTTGTAACAAATTATTCTGGAACAAACTAACGCTCAGTATGTTGTGGAGCGGCTTTCACTTATTTGTTGATAAACAGTCCTTCTAGAATATACTGCAGTTGTAGAAAGCAATGGCAAAAAACGACTCGCGCTGGTTTTTAAACTGTGGAATATATAACACACTGCACTGTTCCATTCCCTTTGAAAAAGTAACCCTACATTCCAAGTTCAAGTATGAATTACATTCTTTATGATATGTATAGAA